TCGTGAGTCGGGCGTACTACCACCGCGGCCAATTCCACAACCATAAAATCTGGATAACTGTTTTACTTAAGTACTAAATGCCAGATAAGTTAACAAAATATTTTGCTATCTTGTCAAATGTAATTATTTGAATCTCAGCAAATACAAACTCTAATTTTGTGACGAAATAATTTGCAATTAACTAAAATGTTTCCGATAAACGAGCGCAACAATGAGGTCAACAAAACAAGGCGTTTCAGTGAGTTTCAAATTTCAGTATGATTAAAACATTTCCATTATTATTTTGATGACTTCTTCTATCCAACATCTCTGTTGGAAGCACATGAGTACAAGGAACATATAAAAACAGTGGCAGTCAGTATACTGATTAGTATCGTTTTTATTTTCATAGTGAGTTCTGTAAAAAGGGGCGTATCAGGTAATAAACGTTCTCAGAGGGTTTTTGCAAATATGAATAGATGAAATAGAGTTTGAACAATAGTATATTACGTACCAAGTAGGATAAGAAGCCTATTACCCACGAGGCGTTAGCCGAATGCGATAATTCGCGAGTGGGCGTAATTGGCCTTATCCTCGAGGTGCTTACTATATTTTTTCTACGACTGACCGTAGAGAAAAATTATTTATTTATTTACGGCAATGCCTATTTTTTATAAAATAATTAACAAGTTCACACATATGTATTTATAGAGCACATTCAGTACTTTCATAAATATATTCGTGATTTAGCCACTCGAAAACATAAAAATTTGCAAAAATATCCAGGGCAACACAAAAAAAAATTTTGTAGAGCTGTGTGATAATTATACAATTTTTAGTACACGGTAGCTTTATCAGTTACTGTTAAATGTATTTCAATTGAAATTTATTTTTAAAATTCTATAACTATTATCATGGATAGTGTTGTTAATTTTCGTCGAGTAACGGGTCAAAGTATTCATAATCCCACGAAAGATGATTGGAAACGATGTTTTCTCACGAAATTTTACCGACCTTGATATCTTGTCTCGTTAAAAAATGAGAAGTGATTTTTGACATTCACACTGTATAGAAACTTCAGATTTTTTTCTTCTATATCTCATCCTGTTATATTCACAATGTTCGTGTTATTCGAAAACAAATATTTGCCATCTGGAGCTTCCTTAATGAATTGATTCATTTGTCGACGATTTCTTCGGTTTATAACCATTAGATTCGCGTTTTAGAGAGGTACGTAATTCAGAATATTTGCTGTATCCACAGTTTTCTTGATATTCAGGGTACATCACAGCATTGAGTAAATGGCCCATAATAATAGTAATAATATCGTTTATTATGCATAGAAAATACATTTATACATGAAAGGAAAAGGGTTAGCCAAAGGCTATCTTCCACCCCTCCCAAAAATTATACAGTGAGTGTAAGGAAATAATTATAGAAATACTTATTTACTATCATAACAATGATAGAGAAGAGAAAACAATAATACATCATATAGTTGCTAATAAATCTTAATATTCTTGACATTATTTTGGTCAATTTAACAATTTCATGGCACTACCATACATTTAATTAAAAATTTTTTAAATTACCACTGAGCAATAAGCATCTGTGATTTTATTTCTTTCTTAAATTGATGAATATTATGATTTAAAAGGGGTAAAATTTCATTCAGATGAGAAGGGGCTATATAAAAAAACATTCTTGAAGTTTGGAAGTACGGTGCCTATGTATGTTGAATGAGTTAATTCTCAAATGACAATATGTATGTCAGAATGCCTGCCTAATAAACTATATAAATAACTAGGAGTTTTAGTTTGAAGCAACTTAAACAAAACAATTTTTATCAAATATTGGACTCTGTACCTCACATTCAGGTCCTCCATTTTTAACAAAAATGGTGTGACTTGTTCACCACATGGTATACAGTATACAAATCGCATGCAAGCATTTTGTATACGTTGTAACTTCTGCTTGTTATATTACGGCAAAAATTTGTAATACACCGAACAACAATACTCGATATGGGTGTAAATAAGAGTTTTAACTAACCTGAGTTTCATTTCTTCTGATAACTGATACTTGAATTTGTATAGCGATTGAGTTTGAAGAATGATACTTTGAAAATGTTTGTCACATGTTCAAGGAAAGACAAAGAGCTGTCCATGGTTACGTTGAAATTTTTAGTACTGTCTACCCAGTGAATGTCTGCGTTATCGAGAGTGAGCCTAAAGTTAGACTGAGTTTCTACTATTTGTCCTTGAGACCCTATGCATAAGCCCAAAGTTTCATTTGGATTGATTTTCAGTCCATGATTCTCCGAGTATAGGAATGTTTTGTGCAAATCTGTATTTATATTGGCCACGCAACTTTATGTATCGGCGTTATATAAGAAGACAAATATAACTGTATATCATCTGCGTATAGATGTACTTGACAATGAAAACATCAAGGGTCCTAAAATACTTCCCTGCGGTACACCTGAGATTGTTTCTTTTAGCGATGACCATGAGTAATCATCCAGTTTGACCTTCTGTGATCGGCCTGTGAGGTAGCTGGTCATCCATTTAATAGAATGCTATGAACTTGAGCTTGCTGATGAGTAAATCGAAATTAACTAAATCGAAAGCTTTACTTTGATCAAGCAGTACTAAAATGATGACTTTTGATTGATCTCTGTATCTCGCAAGATCGTCGATTACTTTCAAGAGTTCCGTGTTTTTTGCGGAACCCAGACTGCTCGTACGGGAATACTCGATTTTCTTCAAGAGAAGCTCTTACTTGACGGGAAATATTTTTCTCGAATATTTTAGAGAACGAGGGCAGAATGCTGATGACGATGGTTTCAAAGTTTTTGCTAAATCTTCGAAATGAAGAGAAAAACATTTTCGGAAAACGAAGTTATGATATTCTTCTGTCTTCAACTCATAAAAGTTTCGAAATTATTTTCGTATTTTTCTTATGATTTTACTGGCATCAAATTATTCATCGGAATATTTGCTTGCTTGGTAATATCTGGTGGCTTCTTCAGGCGTATTCATTAGTATTGTTCAGTGAAAAGCTCATAAATTTCAACCAATTAGATTACTTACTGCTGTCCGCGTTTTTGTTCGCGTGGACTTCATTTTCTGGGTCTTCCCAGATTGTATTACTGCAAAATGTTCTAAAAAAAAGTTTTCCGAAATATCTTTCATGTTAAATATGGAGCAGTTCTACTTTTATAACATTTATTGATTTCGAGGATCCTACTGATACAACGAATGAAATGAAATCATAATTCAAAATAGTCGTACAGATTTGATTGTTGAATATAACGAAAGATATTTTACTGATTTGAACATTAGACGAAACACTTATTTTGTGAAAATAATCAGTTATTATTTTCCCCTATTGATGCCAAAACAGTGAGTGAAAAGGACCTTCTGAACAATACAGTCCATTGTGTACATGTTTATAAAACATTCTGTTAATTCGCAGGAATTACCCAGAAAATTTCCAGCAAATTTCTACTCGAAAGTGTGTGTCGGAAAGTCGAAGTGTACCCTGTTGGCTATAGATATACACATGTTTCAGAGTTGAGAATTGATTTACTTTGAAAAGCCAGTCGAGGAGAGTATTGCTGTTCTGGTGTTTGGGAAAAGTACTTGTTCGCTCACTTACCGTCTGCAAATTCTGTGTATCAAGGACTATCACTCGTCAAGGAAAGTGGAAATAGGACAATATATCAAGACAAGATATCAATTTCTTCCAAAAAGTTCTAAAAAAACATCTATGTCCCTAACTATGATAGATTGGGATCTTAGATTGTACATCAAATATTTTTGTTGATCTTTTCTGAATTAGACTCACTTTCTATTGTACATCAAATATGATTGCTGATCTATTTTGTCTGAAACCCAGTGATATATTATCTCTACAACACACTTTCTATTGAACATCAAAGATGTTTGCTGATCTATTTTGCCTAAAACCCACTTTCTATTGTACATCAAAGATGATTGCTGATCAATTGTGTCTAAAACCCAGTGATCTATTATTTCTACAATACATTTTCTTTTGAACGTCAAATATGTTTGCTGATCTATTTTGTCTAAAACCCACTTTCTATTGTACTTTAAAGATGATTGCTGATCTATTTTGTCTGAAACTTAGTGACCTATTTTCTGTAAAACACACTTTCTATTGTACATCAAAGATGTTTCCTGATCTATTTTATCCTAAACTCGCATCTACTGTAAAACAAAAATGATTGCTGATCTATTTTGTCTAAAACTCAGTAATCTACTTTTTCTAAAACCCAGTCAGCACTTTTCTCTGATAAGGTAAATGTATAATGGATATAACACACTGTCATAACATACAGTTTCGCAGGTTAAATCGATCAAGTTGTTGGTTTTCAAATTGGATACCGGCAGCAAAGTTAGTTTAAGGTATATTCGAAACTGGCTTGAACGTTTAAAGTTCATTTCTTTAGATTTGGAAAGCAAATATCCTGTTTTAATGAATATTTTATACTCTCAACTATAAATTTTCAGTTATCACCTTAATATTCATCTATGGAGGCTGGTAAATCCGATATTATAATTTTATCTGAATTAATAGCTCTAACAGAAGTCCGCAGGTTCGCTGAATACATACCCGTTAATGATGGCACTCACAAAATAGAAATATATGTCATTATCGTAGTCATATTGAGATTTAAATTTCATCAGGAAAATCAATTTTTCATGAGAATAATACTAATACTCGTATTACTAGACAATAACATTTCTATCAGAACTTCAGTTTTCTTGGCAAGACCATCGTAAATTGGATCGATTGGGTACTTATTTTTTTTCTAATCTTTTGTGTTTTCGACTATATTCTCTTTCGTTAGACTCGAAATATTTCCACTCCTACATTATTTTTGGAAACAGCAATTGCAGCCGATTGAACTCGAAAACGTGTCTGTGAATAATTATTCAGATGTTACACTTTACCTTTAATTTTTAGGTACTTCTTGATATCTTTTTTTCTTCTAGGTGTTCCTGATTATAAGAGGCATATGTCTGTGCCTCTAGATTTGACGAATGCTGTTCAAGAAAATGAAGTTTTGAAGAAAGTTGTATCACTAACACTTAGCAAAACAGATCTGGAAACAAAAGTCACGAAACCGAAATTTGTACCAGAAAAATTGGATTTTCAACTATACGAAAAATTTGAAGGTAACATATTTTTTATACTAAAAATTGCCATTTAGGAGCCTGAAATACAAAATAGTACTTCCTGTGCTTTGATTAGTAGGTACTTGAAGTAGTCCAGACAGATCCACGAAAATTAGGTAGATGAGAAAATAGATGGCGAAGAGTGACACTATTGTGCACATAGATGCAGAAAAATCTCTTTCAGATGATGTACAAATGTATTTCTTTACGCAATTACTCCGCAATCGGTTATTGAAATTGAAAAAAGTAAATGGAATTTGAATACTTTTCATAAAACTCCTTTTCCTTAACAAAACAAAATTTGGCGTCCTCTTGGCGGCAAGTGATGTCACACTATTGACTTTATTATCAAAAAATACTGAAAGTGATTTCATTTTATCTTTCCCAGTTCGAAAGTTAAGAGAGGGTGACTATTGACGTCCGTACTGTATATGCAGGAAAACTAAATCTCTATAGAGCTGGCTGAAGGGAAATGAAAATAATATGCTTATGAGAAAATGTTTCATAAGTTGATAAGTTATACAAAAACATTGTTGATATTTTCTCGATATAGTGAATGTGATGCATAGAGAATATTTGTAGTTACCGCAGAAATGTTGAGAAGCAAAAAAGTGGTATATGTATAAAATGGCTAAAGGTCAAAACTTTGCTTCCATTTTTTGTATTCCTTCTTATTCTGCAAACGTTATTCACAATAATGATGACTACCAAGTGAAATTTGAATTTGATAACGGATCTACGATTAGTATTGTACCTACATTCTGAATGTAAATCTGGTATACGTAACAATAACTCGTCTTTAAAAATAGAATACAAGTATATAGGAGCTTTCTAATTCAAGAATTTTTTATTTGAAACTGAAATTATGAAAATAATATGGTTTATATGCAAATAGAAGAAAATCATTAATGACACAAAATATTATCTGAGAAAGAATGTATTTTTCAGAAGAGAGTTGTTTTTGAAAATAAACAAACACAGTATTGTGTGGATAATTGAAAGTTTTTTGTCACGGACAAAACACAAGCACTATAGTAAAATCCTTGAGACACTATAAGAGCGGTGCCTGTGCGAAAGTAGTGTCTCACGTTTGGAGTGGAGAGTGGAGTGGAGATTAAATCCATTTGGAAAAAAGTTATCAGGAAGTTTATTTCACATGAACACAGTTCTCCAAATGAAAGAGTTCTTAAATAGTGAAGTTCGAGATGTGCTGAGCTGAATCTCAAAGCTCAGTCACAGTCACCTCCCTTGAAAGTATCTATAGAAGATTTCATAAACTACATCTTACGATTTGATCTCCACAAACTTTATTTGAGAAATATCAAAAACTACACCTTACGATATGATCTCCACAAAGTTTATTTGAGAAATATATCACGACATGTTTCGCTAACACGGTAGCTTCTTCAACAGTGATTTGAATACTACAAATAGATTCTTACTTTAATATTCATATACCACAGGTATCTACAATTGGGACTACCTCCATCAAATTACCTCCACAATTCGTATATACCTGAGGTACCTCTTCAATTATGATTACCTGAAGCATATTACCTCACGTCTATATCAATAATAATTTTTTCTCGGTTTTTAAGAAAACAAGTTCAATAATAGTGATCTATTCAAATCCAGTTGGTCATTCATTAGAATGTTTGAATTTTTAAGTTTTTTAATTTCTATTGCTTTCAAATGATTCAGTTTCAAACCTTTATTTNAAAAAAAAATTTTGTAGAGCTGTGTGATAATTATACAATTTTTAGTACACGGTAGCTTTATCAGTTACTGTTAAATGTATTTCAATTGAAATTTATTTTTAAAATTCTATAACTATTATCATGGATAGTGTTGTTAATTTTCGTCGAGTAACGGGTCAAAGTATTCATAATCCCACGAAAGATGATTGGAAACGATGTTTTCTCACGAAATCTTACCGACCTTGATATCTTGTCTCGTTGAAAAATGAGAAGTGATTTTTGACATTCACACTGTATAGAAACTTCAGATTTTTTTCTTCTATATCTCATCCTGTTATATTCACAATGTTCGTGTTCTAACATCTGTTTTTTTTTACATTACAGGATTCATCTATATAACTTTGTCCATAGGAACAAGGTATCTTACGAATACTCTCTTTCGTTTTGTTCGTGTCGGAATAGTTCTCAGTGTGTTTGTTATTACTTTAAATCGTAGTGTTAATCCTACACAGCAGAATATGATTAAATGCCTGCTGGAAAAACAAATGTTTTCCTGGCTATAACCACGATGGACATTGAATTGTATCCGACAGTCATTAATCAAAGACTTAAGTGTCTGACGTTGGGAAATTGTTTTGAGTTTTGTTTTAAAATATTCATTTTCCGAATATGTCTGTATTCCTTACCGACACAGTCATCGCAATGATCGTATATGAGGTGGATCTACGATGGAATTTTTCGAGTGTCAGGCACACTGCTATTTGGGTTGGATCTTTCGTACACTGATGAAAGGTGATACCTCTGAACTGGTCTGTAGGAATCTACTCGACTAATTTCGATGAAAAACATTATTTTTTCGTTGTCGCCTCCAAAATAATTGCCATCAGCACTTGTGACAGCCCTAATTTCCATCCTCGAAATAATTCTCATCGATCTTTGGGATAAGCTCTTTCAGCGTTGTTCTTTCAAAGTCATCTATGTCACTATTTTGTCACAGGTTTGAAGGCAGTCGATTTTTGGAATTTCTTCCTGACGTTTCGCTGGCGTCGGCGGAAGGTCAGACAAACTCGTCGGAGATAAACTCAGAATGTATGAACTTCTGAAGAAGCTAGCTAATTGCGCCAGCAAAACGTCAGGAAGAAATTCCAGAAATCGACGGCCTTCAAACTCGAATGAAAATAGTTGCCATGTTGCTTCTTCGACCTATTATTGCTAATAGGTTTTGTCGGACAGATCCCGCCATTACTATTCTTTGCCGTACGTGAGACCTGAACGTTAATCTTTTGTCTAAGTTGACCCCCAAGTATCTAGCTTCGTTGTTCTACGGAATCTCTTGTCCGTTGCAGATGACGTTTCCTTCCGGGGGTTTCCTTCCATCCTTCTTGAGAACAATATTGCGTGACTCTTGTCAGGGTCTTCCACAGGTTGGCCCATTCCTCTAATCTATCTGCCTGTTGCTGCAAGTATCCAACGCTTTTCAACAACGGTGTTCGTCAAAGATTACTTTTATATGGCCAAAGATTCTGGAAGAATTATGACATTCTTGTATGAGTAGAAGCTAATAATTTTGTATGAAAACCAGCGTTCAAGAATCACAAAAACCATTGTACTTGGATAAAATAAACAAGTTTGAAACGAGAAAATTGCAAGTTATCCTATCACGTCTTCGACTACTCTTTGTATACTCGCTTCACTCATGAATACCTCTCAACGGTAATAACCCTCCTACATGTGAAGTTTGTGACTGTGCCATAAGTGTTAAACATATTTTATCTAAGTGCGTATCTTACTCCAACAAGAGAGTCGAGTACGACATCCCCCCTTCAATTGAAGACCTATAAAGCTGCTGCACCGTATATGAAAATTTATTGTAAGAAATCAATGTACTATGAAATTTGAATTGTCGCTAATAACCCTCGAGGTTGATGCGACATTAAATAAATGTAATTAAAAAAAAAAGTTCCAAACGTCACATTACAAATCTTCTGACGTTTATCGGTAATTACCTCACCCACCTTTCAAGTGATGAGATATTTTATTTTACATGATAATATATACGTTAATACTCGTAACGACAGTGATGAATTACATCATTTCGTAGGTATAAGATATATTCAAACACGGTGTAATGAAAAGATTAACGTTTCAAATTTCGTAATCTTTACAAAAATACAAACATTTGCTATTTTGTTTGTTGAGTAGTTTGGTTTCTAGTTGATGAGTTTTGAAACAAACTTTTTTCAATC